GGGTGGATTAATAGAAGACAGTAGGTTGGATAGATGATTGATAGATGATAGATGGGTGAATGAACAGATGATAGGTGGGTGATAGATGATAGATGGGTGGCTGGATAGGTGATGGGTGAATGAATGAGAGATGGATGAATAGATGATTGATAATAGATGAGTAGATAGAGAATAGATGAGTGGATGGATAGATGGGAGGATGGATTGATGATAGATGGCTGAATGGATGATTGACAGATGATAAATGAGTGGATGTATAGATGATGGATGCGTGGATGAAAGAATGATAGATGTGTGGATAGATAGATGATAGATGGGTAGATGGATGATTGATAGATGATGGATGGGTGGATGGATTGATGAAAGCTGGGTTAATGGATGATTGATAAATGTTATGAGTGGATGCATAGATGATATATGGGTGGATTGATGATTGATAGATGATAGATGAGTTGATGGATAGATGATATGGCCAAATGGATAGATGATAGATGGGGGATAGATAGATGATAAATAATTGGATGGAATCATGATAGATGGGTGAATGGATTATTGATAAATGATAGACGGGTGGATGAATGGATGATAAATCAGAGGATAGATGATTGACAGATGACAGATGGGTGGATGAATAGATGAAAGATGGGTGGATGGATAGATGACAGGTAGGTGGATAGATGGATGGAATGGTGGGTGGATAGATGATAGATGATTAGAAGGACAGATGCTAGAAGGTGGATGTATATGGCCGGGTTTGGTGGCTCAGCCTGTAATCTCGCACTTTGGGAGGCCGAGGTGAGTGGATTGCCTGAGCCCACGGGTTTGAGACCCACCTGGGCAACTTGGCGAGACCTCACCTCTACCATAAATCAAAAAAATTAGCCGGGCGTGGTAGTGCACACCTATAGTTCCAGTTACTTGGAAGGCTGAGGCGGAAGGATCGCTGGAGCCCAGCAGGTCAAGGCTGTGGTGGCCAGGATTGTGCCACTGCACTCCAGTCTGTGCAACAGAGTGAGACTACAACTCAAAAAAAAGAAGGTAGATGTATAGATGATAAATGAGTGAATAGATGATTGATAGATGATAGATGGGTGGATAAACAGATGATAGATGGGTGGTACAATAGATGGTATATGGGTGAATGGGTAAATGATAGATGGGTGTGATGGACGTACAAATATATTATAGTTGGGTGGATAGATAGATGATAGACAAGTAAATGGATAGATGATAGATGAGTGGATGGATTAATGATTTATGGGTGAATGGATGATTGATGAATGATATGGTTGGATGGATAGATGATAGATTGGTGGATTGATGATTGATAGATGATAGATAAGTTTATGGATAGATGATCATGTGTGAATGGATAGATGATACATGGGTGGATTGATAGATGACGGGTGGATGGATAGATGACAGATGGGTGAATAGATGACTGATAGATGATAGATTGGTGGATGGATGATTGATAGATGAAAGAGGGGTGGATGGATGAATGAATGATAGTTTGGTGGACAGATGATTGACAGATTGTAGATGAGTGGTTGGATAGATGATAGATGGGTGGACGGATTTTTGGTAGATGATAGGTAAGTGGATGGATACGTGACAGATGGATAGATAGTTTGATGATAGATGGGTGAATGGATAGATTATAGATGGGTCGATACATGATTGATAGATGATAAGTCAGATAGGTGATAGAAGAGTGGATGGGTAGATGGTAGATGAGAGGATAGATGTTTGATAGATGATAAGTGGTTGGATAGATAGATGATAAATGGATGGATAGATTCATGATAGATGGGTGGATGGACAGATGATAGACGGGTGGATGGGTAGATGACAGAAGGGTGGATGGATAGAAGACAGAGAGGTGGATGGATAGATTATTGACAGATGATAGATGAGTGGATGGATAAATTGTAGATGGGTTGATAAATGATTGATAGATGAGTGGATAGATAGATGACAAAGGGGTGGATGGACAGATGATAGATGGGAGGATAAATTTTTGACAGATGATAGGTGAATGGATAGATGATAGATGGGTGGATGGATAAATGATAGTGGGAGGATAGATGTTTGATAGATGATAAATGGTTGAATAGATAGATGATAAGTGGATGGATAGATAAATGATAGATGGAGAGATAGATTGTTGAATAGATGCTTGATAGGTAATAGGTGGGTGGATGAGTAGATTGATGAATAGATGATAGATGGATGGAAAGATGATTGATAGATGATAAATGAGTGGATAGTTGATTGATGGATACATAGATGCTTGATGGGTGCTAGATGGGTGGATGGATAGATGATACATGAGTGGATGGATGATGGATGGATAGGTGAGATGAGTGGATGGATAGATAATAGATGGGTGTATGAATAGATGATAGTTGGGTAAATGGATAGATGATAGATGGGTGTATGGATAGGTGATAGTTGGGTAGATAGATAATAGATAAGTGACTGGATAGATGATAAATAGTTGGATGAATAGATGATAGATGGGTGGATGGGTAATGATGGAAGGATGGATAGATGATTGATAGATGATAAATGAGTGGATAGATACTTGAGTGATGGGTGGGTAGATGCCTGATGTGTGCTAGATGGGTGGGTGAATAGATGGGTGAATGGATAGATGAGAGATGGTTGATAGATGATAGATGGGTCAATGAACATATGATAGATGGGTTGATGGATAGATAATAAATTGGTGGATAGATAGATGAGAGATGGGTAGATAGACGATTGATACATGATAGATGGGTAAATGGACAGATGATGGATGGATGCATAGATGATAGACAGGTAGATAGATAATTGATAGCTAATAGATGAGTTGATAGATGATGGAAGACTGGATAGATAGAGGATAGATGGGTGGATGGATAGATGATTGATCAGTGAATAGGTGATTGGTATATTGTAGATGGGTGGACAGATGATAGATGGGTGGATAGATGATTGGCGGGTGGATGGATAGCTAATAGGTGGGTGGATGGGTAAGTGATAGATGGGTGGTTTAATGATTGACAGATGATAAACTAGTGGATGAATAGATGACAGACGTGTGGATGGATAAATGATGGATGGATACATAGATGACATATGGGTGTATTGACAGATAATAGATGGGTGGATAGATAGATGATAGATGGGCTGATGGAGAGATGATAGATGGGTGGATGGATGATGGATGGATGGATGATTGATAAAGGATAGATTGGTAGATGGATAGATAACAGATGGGTGGATGAACAGATGATAGATGGGTGGATAGATGACTGATAATTGATAGATGGGTGGATAGATAGATGAGAAATGGGTGTATGAATAGATGATGGATAGGCATATTGATAGATGATAGGTGGACGGATAGATGACAGATTGGCAGATATAGATGATAGATGAGTGGATGGATAGATGATTGATAGATGGATGAATACATAGATGATAGATTATAGATGAAGAGATTTTTTGATTGGTGATAAATAGATGTAAAAATGGATGATAGATGGATAGACAGATAACAGGTTATAGATGGATAAATGACTGATAAATGATGGAAGGGTGCATAAATGATAGACAATCAATAGATGGATAGATAATAGGTGGATGACTGGATGGATGGCATGGATGGATGACTGATAGATGACATATGAATGAATAGATGGATAGATGATTGATTGATGGTGACTAGTCAGACAGATGGTAGATAGATGGATAGATGATGGATGCATACATGATAGTTGATGGATGAATAGATAATAGACGATGGACAGATGGATAGATGATTTATAGATAGATAGAATTGTTGGTTGAGTTTTGTGCCCCAATCCATCTGTTGCAGTGCTAGCCTCTGGGACACCATGATGCAATCTCATTTAAAGATAGGGTCTTTACAGAGGGTAATCAAGTTGAAATGAGGTCATTAGCACGGGTCCTATACCAATGTGACATGTTTCCTTATAAAAAGGAGGGATTTGGGTACAGAGACACTCATGGAAGGAAAACAATGTGAGGAGGCACAGTGAGAAGATGGTCTCCAAGACATGAAAAGGTTGGAGCAGCATCTCCCATATAGACTCAGAAGAAATCAAACCGGCCCACACCTTGGTCTTAGACTTCCGGCCTCTAGAGCTGATAAACTTCTGTGGTCTAAGCCTCCCAGTCTATGGTACTGTTACAGCAGCCCTAGCAAAGTGATACAGATAGATGATGATGATGACAGATGGATGGATGAGTAGATAGATAGACGATGATAATGATGGATAGATGGATAGATGGATGGAGGATGGATGGATGGAGAAATAGATGATAAATGGGTGGACAGACAGACAGTGATGGTGATGGATGGATGGATAGTTAGATGATGATGGATGCATAGATTGACAGATGGACCGTGATGATGAACAGGTGGATGGATGGATGGATGGACGGACGGACGGATGGACAGATAGACATAGAGGATGACGATCATGGATGGATGAACAGATAGACAATGATGGAAGGATGGATGGATGGACAGACAGACAGATGATGATGATGGGTGGATGGATATACATAGATAGGTAGATGATGGGCAGATAGATGATGACAATAGATGGATAAATAAATACATGTGATGGATAGAAAGAGAGGTGAATGACTGATATAAAATAGACAATGGACAGATAGATGACAGATCATGGATGGATGGATGGATGATAGACAAGTGATGATCCATAGCTAGATGTTTTAATCTTCTCCACCATTTTAACGCCCTGATGAGATGACACCACCTGGGAGTGAGACACTGCTCTCTCAAGTTCTTGTCATCACAGATCTTTACAGTGGGACCCAGATTCACAGGGTGTGTGCACATGCCTGCATGTCTTAGCAGAGCAGGACTGGGTGCCCACACCGTGATTGGCATGATTGGGATGCTCCAGAGCCTCCCCTGTGCTACTACGCAGGGTGAGAAGACAAGCCCCACACGTTACCTTTCAGTATGGGGCAGATTTTCCAGACGCCGGCTGCCCCCTCCCTGTTGAACTGCCCGAGGGCCAGCTCCATGTAGAAGAGGGGCATCCCAGCGATGACCATGAAGAGCAGGTAGGGGACCAGGAAGGCACCTGTGGACACGACAGCATGTCGGGCTCAGCGTTGCAGAAGGGCACACCTTTCCTCACTGGATCACCAGTGTCCCAGTGGGCCACCCTCGTCTTGGGCACCCCCCTTTTCTCCCTGTTTTAGGCAGGAGGCTCCAATCACAACTGCCTCCCATGGGAGTCCCAGGCAGTGATGGGTGAGCCTCCTGCCTCCACGCCTGTCCCCCAGTGTTGCCAGTGCCTGACACATCCTTCTTGAAACCCCTAGTCATCCCCCGCACCGAGTTACGGGTCAAACCCAGAGCTGAGTAGGGGAGGCCCCTCACTCCTGGCTGTGTTGCTGCCCTCCTCCCAACCTGGGCACCCCCTTCTCCACTCTGGCGCCCTTCCCTGATATGGCCTGACTTTGCCCTGTCTCTGTCCTGACCCTATTCACCTCTCGAGTTGTAAATCCTTGGGGATCTGCGACCCCAGTTCTTCCCTGATCCCAAGTCAGTTCCATCACCTGTCCCTGGCTCCCAGCACTCAGAGCCACCTCTATTGGGCACTGATGGTGGAGGCTCTCAGGACAGGTGCTGGGAGCCCCTCTAGGGAGCACCTGGTTCCTCTAACACCTGCTCCTCCTCCACTCCCAGCATGAAGTTCAGGGTCCAGCCGTCTCAGCCTCCTAAGTCCATGCTGCTCTCTCCCGATCTGACCTCAAGTGAGGGAGAGTGAGGGAGAGGCATGGGTCCCTCAAGTTCTGTCTTTGGGCAGCTTGGTGCACCTGCTGAGACCACAATCTTCTTGTCTGCAAGATGGGCATAGTAATGTCAACCTACCCACGGCAGGCTGCGAGGCCCTCCCAAAGATTCTACAGCCTGCATGTGTCTAGCCTGGCGTGCCCAGTCGGGGAGACCTGGCAGGGAACGCAGAAGGCCCACAGAGGTTCACGGGAAACAGGACCCAATCTACCAGCTTTCTGTGTGCCCTGCCCTAACCTTGGCTGTCTGACTGGAGGCCAGAAGCAGCCTGGCCCCATGACCGGTAAGGTCAGGCAGGGCAGGGGAGCCAGCAGGTTGCCGGGGCGTTTCTGCTGCCCAGACGCAAGGGCGTACGCAGCTCTGTGACACTGCTCAAGTTGGCCACAGGGGCTGATCGTGGGGCCTCTGAGGATTTCCTCTCTGAAGAGAAAGTACCTCTGGAAACAGAAGGTAGAGCCAAGTGCATCAGCCTGCTCCTCCAGCCTCTTCCCTCCTGGTCTCCTCCTTCCCAGCCTGTTTGCTCAACTATGAAGCACACATATGGAGCCAGGATGCTCTGAGCTCCGCTGTGTGGGATTGGAACATCTCCCGGGAAAACCTGCATGAGCGAGCGCCATCAGCATGCACGAGAGCTTCCATCCCAGGCTAGGGCGCCGTGTTTCTCCACAGCGCCGCTGGCAGCTGCCCAAGCCCAGCCTGGCAGGCGTGGGGGGGGGGGGCAGAGCTGGACTTACCACCGCCGTTTTTGTAGCACAGGTAGGGAAACCGCCAGACATTGGCCAGATCCACCGCAAAACCGATGACCGAGAGGAGAAAGTCGATCTTCTTGCCCCAGGTCTCCCGCTCTGGGGCCTCCACGGGGCCAGGGGGCGGGCGGATGAGCGTGGAGTTGGTGAGCTGCACTCCGTTCTGCTCCTTGATCAGGACCAGCTCCACATCCCTGAGGCCCATGGCACCGGGGTCCTTAGCCGGGGCCACTGAAGAGGACATCAGGCCTGCAGGGCATCTGCTCTTGCTCATGGACGCGCGCAGATCCGCGGCTCAGTGCTCCTTCCCTCCTGACCTCTGGCCGCCATGCAAGAGAAACAAGTGTGAGGCGGGCGGGCCGTGGGCGTGGCCTGGAGCACAGAGACCAGGCCACCAACGCTCACCCTCAGGAAGGAGCCGGCAGAGTCCATCACCCACGATGCCCTGGGGGCTTGGAAGGGCTGGCAGGCACCACGCCCAATGTGGGCAGAGGCAAGCTGGGACGCAGCCTTCCATGCTCCCACCCATGTGCACTTGGCTTTTGAGTAACGACGCAGATGCTACCCTCCTTCCCCCCTCCTCAGAGAGAAACCTTGCAGGCTTCAAGTAGCATCAGCAGCAAGTCTTTACGACAGGACATGTGTTCTTTACACTCAGTAAAGCGAAGAGCCAGGTGCACACAGCCAGCACTGGCCCTCGAAACCCAGTTCGGAAATAACAACCATTGCATGGTCCCCCCAGGGCACTGCACCCGTATGGCCACCTGCAGCCTGGGTATGAGTGCCACCCGAAGGGGCCGGGCCCAGGACAGAATGGGCCAGCTCCTGGGTCAGGGGCATAGCGGGAAGTCACATTTCAGGAACCAGCCCTGCCCAGGGCAGGTTCTTCTGGCATTCGGACCCCGCAGCACTGCTTCCAGTGCACAGGTATGCATGCAGGCACACACGCAGACACATATGCAGGCATGCACATGCAGACACAAGCACACATGCACTCACCCACAAGCAGGCACACACACACATGCAGGCACACGTGCAGACACACACATACAGGCACACATGCAGGCACATGTGCAGACACACACACGTACACAGGCACACATATAGACATGCACATGCATACACAGGCACACATACAGGCACACATGCAGACACGCACAGGCAGGCACACACACATACACATGCACACTTGCCACACACACAGACACACCAGCACATACATCCAGGAACATCCACATACATGCAGGCACAGTCATACACATACACAGGCGTGCACACACACATGCACACACACCGACTGGCTCAGGACAGCAGGTGGCAGCTCTGAAGGGGCCGTTTTCCTTCATCCAAGTTTGAACAAAATCTCACCCAGGAGCTGTTTCCTGTGAGTTGGCAGCCTCTTCGTCCTCCCCCCACCCTGTGACAAGCCGCACCACACATCTCCAGGCTTCAGATGACCCCCGGGGGGCGGTGAAGGAGAGACTGGCCCTGAGGTCCCAGTGCTGGGACTCCCACGATGCCCTGGGACAGCGGGATGCCTGGAGCCCCTGGGCAACGGCCAATCGCCCAGCTCTTGAACTCAGGGCCTCCGGGAGCAAATCAAAGAGTCGCCTGTTAGAAAGCTCTTTCCTCACCAATCGGGTCGCACCCACCACCAAGACACCGCTCGGCTGGCCCCCAACGCCAGTCCGGAGCGTCCAGCACCGCCCGCCACCACCGTCAAAGTCAAAGGCAAAACCCGGCGAGATCAGCCCATCAGATACGGGGTCGCCTCACCCTGGTGGCGTCAGGTTTGATTTGACCACGAGGAACCGCCCCGAGCCTTTGCCGCAGACGCAGCCCCCGGAAACCAGTGACCGCCGCCCCGTCCACGTTGTCCTGAGCCTGGGGCGGGGCGGGAGCAAGGGGCGCTTCAGTCCCGCACCCCTCTCGTGCGCGCACCTCCGACCTCCTCGGACGTCCCCGGGTTCCAAAGGGCTCTATCAAGCCGCGCTCCCCGCGGCGACCGTGGGCGACTTTGGGGACGCGACTCTGAGCCCCCCGACGGCGCCCGCGCTCCCCACGCGCCCCCGCCCAGCGCCCCTGCCCCTGCCTTGGGGGTCTGCGGAGGGAGGCTTCGGGGGGCTCTGCAGAGGGAGCGGAGCCCCCGAGAATGCGCCTGTGCGGGGGTGACCCGGCCTCACCTGTCCGCCGGTCTCGGCTGGCACCCGGTCCGGGTCTGAGCTCCACCGCGAGCGTCCGCGAAGGCTCAGCTCTTGATCGCCTCGCTGGGCGGGCCCGGCCTCCCGGCTTTTATTGAGCCGCCAGGGTCCGCCCCGCCCGCCCGCCGTCGGGGTCTCCCTCCCGCCCCGGCTCCGCCTTCGCACCGCCCCGGGAGGGCGGGGGACAGCCGGGGCCGCGCCCCCGCCCCGCCGCGGGTCACCGAGGGCTCGGGTGGGCGGCAGCCACCGCCCTGCGACCAGCACAGCCCCGAGTCGGAGGTTCTGTGCCTCCGGGAGCCGCTGGCGCGGGAAGCCGCGCACCCCCGGGTTGGAGAGCGGCGGTCTTCAGGCGCCACGGTCTGGGTCTCGCCCGCCCGCCTCACCGCACCCCTCGGGGCTGCCCTGAATACTCGCGGCTACCCTCGGGGACACCCCATCGAGGCCCGGAGACCCGCTGGTGGGAGCCGAGCGGCGGAGGCATGGCTTGTGCAGGGTCCCGCCAGGCAGATGGGCCACACGGACCCTCTGCCTGCTGCGGCCTGGCTGGTCCCTAACCGTCCGACTGCCCCTCCCGCCGTCCAGCGCTCTGGGGAAAACATCCCGCTCAGCCTCATCTGCACGGGAGTGACCAGCGGGGCGAGGCTTCATGGTCCGCTGCGCCCCGCTCGCGTCCCGGTGGCTGCCCTGGCTGGCGGGCTCAGTTCCCCTCGTTCTCCGCACTTCGAACCGCGCCGGGACTGCGACCCGAGGTACGCCCTCAGCCCGTGTCAGGGCTGCAGAGACGCGGATCCTTCCAGCCGGCAGGGCCCCTCCGAGAGCCGAAGTCTCTGGGAACAGGCAAAAGCGCAGTCCCCGCCCGCTGGCATCACATTCTCGTCGGAAACGACGTCCTGCGGGTCTGAAAAGCCTGGCATTGCCGGCTCAGGAGGGACAGGCCCTGGTGGACTCCAGACTCCTATGGAGGAAGGCATCCCAGCCAAGTGAGGCCCTGGACACCGCTGGAAGGCACCTGGCGGAAGGCGCCTGGCTGGGCTTGGGCTCAGGACCTCCTCCCCACAGGCCCCAAGACTCCACACTCAGTAGGAGGGAGGAGCCTCAGGCCCCCAGGCCCAGGACATTGGTCCAGAAGGCACCACGGTGAGTGGCCACCCTAGCTCTGCTATCGTCCTCTGGTGACCTGAACCCCAGGCATTCCTCTCAGGGTGTCCCCTGACTCCCCGGGGGGAATCCTGCAGGGGTCGGCGCCACCCTCCCAGCCTGTAGCCCTGCTGGGTGTCCAGGCTGCAGGGTCCCTTGGTTCCTGACCTCTCAGCACCTAGCTGCTCCTCCTCACCCCCACCCTGTGGCCTCATAGCCCCACCATAGGGCAGAAGGCACTCAGGGGCTGCCCCTCCAGGCCAGACTGGAAGCCAGTGGAACCAGGTGCCTCAGTCCCACCACAGACTGGGGGCTTTTACGGCAGGCACCCATCGCTCACAGCCCTGGAGGCTGGCGCCCAGGGGCCAGTGCTGGCAGGCTCCGTGTCTGGCGAGGGCGACTTCGGCTGCAGACAGCAGTTTTCTCCTGGTGTCTTCATGGAGCGGCAGGAAGGGCCCTGGGATCTGTTTCCCAAGAGGCCGACCGTTCCTGAGCGTGGGACCTGCCGGCTGCAGCACCTCCCACTGGTCCCGCCCCTAATACGGCCACACAGGGGGAATTTCCACATATGGACAGGGGCCCAAGCCAGTTGGTAGCACTGGGCGGGGGGGAGTGAGGGGGTTCCAGAAGATGGGATGTGCCACCGCAGTTCTGTCGCGTGCCAGTGGTGACAAGAGGGATCTCGCCCCAGGAAGCTCAACAGCACAGGCTTTCAGAACAAGGAGGGAGGGGCCTGAACCAGCAGGTCAGAAACACAAACAGCCTCCCAAGGAAAAGGTCTGCAGTGGCAGGGCCATTCGCGTGAGGACACAGGTGGGACCGATGCTGGGTACTGTGTCAACACACAGGCACATGGGGCACTTGGGAGGGAGCAGGGAGCTTGCAGGAGTGCACACTTGCAGCCTGACCCAGCAGTCCAAGGAAGGAGGGGGAGGGAGGGCAGGGGCCAGGGCCACACACGCACGGGGGAGGGGAGACCCCTCAAGTATGACATGCAGATGGAGAGCGCGCCAGTCACCTCTGCAGGGGGCACCCTCGGCAAGGGCCATGCTCCCGTCCTGGGCTTCACACTGGGCTTCACACTCGTGGAAGTTGCTCCCAGGCTGAGGGAAGCCCATCCCCCACCGCCACGCCCACTCTGACCCAGTGTTAGGATGCAGGCGCTCTGATGTTCTGAGGAGAGTGGCCACGGAGGCGGCCTGCAGGCGGCAGAGAAAGCTCAGCTCCCGGTCTGTGTCTCCCTCCTCCCGCGACGGAGGCTCCTGGCCCTGCGCAGGGACAGCCCGCGTGGCTGTGAGCTGATGGAACTTGATGAAATGGCCGACCTTTGTGAGCCCAGAACTTTGCCCTAAATGCCAAACTCACTTCATCATGGTCGCTGCGGCCCTGCTGCGCCCCGGCACTGGGTGGAGGCGGAGCCACCCAGCCTCCTGCACCTCTGCCCATCCTCCGTACCTCTGCTGCCTGCTCGCTGTGGAGCTCACAGTGAACCCTGGCTGCCAGCGGCTGCCTCCAGAGTGGCCCCCCCTTGGGGCCATCCACTGGGGAGTCCTCGGTGCTGGACGTTGTCCGTTGCCCAGCCCTGACTTGGAGGCAGCCAGGGTGCCCCATGGGAGGACGCAGACTGTGCACTGGTGCGTCTGAGACAAGTGGCAGTGGGGTGGCAGTCATCTGCCTGCCTGCTTGGTGGCTCCCGTATGGAGGGGGTCCCGGTGTCGTCAGGCCCACGGGGAGTCCTGCTCAAACTCCATGGATGCTGACCTCTTGCTGCCGATGCTGACCTCTTGCTGGGGCCAGGTTGGTTGCAGCTGGGTGGAAGTGAGGAGCCTGCCTGGAGCTGGCCTCTCCCGCCTCACAGCCCAGGTCTGCAGGTGGGAGTGGGTGTGTCCAGGTGCCAGGGAGTGCTGCAGAAGGGGTGGGTCTGTGAGGGCAGACACCAGACCTGTGTGGGCAGGGCTCTGAGAACAATGGGGAGGCCGACCTGGGA